CAGCCTCTGACAAACAGAGGCCAAGGACACCATTTTATCCCCTGGCTAATAGCCTTTTATGGACCTAACCTCCATGAAATTATTGAGCGTCTCTTTAAACTCTGTTATAGTTCTAGCCTTCACAGCCTCCTCTGGCAAGGAGTTCCACAGGTTGACAACACGCTGTGTGAAGAATTTTCTTTTATTAGTTTTAAACCTACTACCCATTAATTTCATTTGGTGTCCTCTAGTTCTTCTATTTAGGGAACTAATAAATAACTTTTCTTTATCAGCCCTCTCCACACCACTCATGATTTTATAGACCTCTATCCTATCCCCCCTCGGTCTCCTCTAGGCCCCGCATACCCCTGGTGGGGGGACGGAGGCTTTGCACATTCCCAGGCCAATTGGAGCCTAAGGGGTGGGAAGTGCGCGAAGTCATTCGCTGTTCAAAATGGCTGGTGGCGCCCTTCAGTCACCGTGCACCCCTAGTGGGGGAAGGGAGCTGCCGGCCATTCTGAATAGCGAATTATTTTATGCACTGCCCTACTCCTGGGTCTCGACTGGCCGGGGCGGGGGAGAGACAGGGGAGCGGCAATGCAGCCGTGAGCTGGATCAAAGGCGTGGCAGGCTGCATTCAGTCCACAGGCTGAATCTTGCCCACCCCTGGGTTAATCAGTATGGGCTGGTGCAGTTCCCCGCCTTCCCCTGCTCCACTGTCTGGCCTGTCTGTGGCGGGCCCAGCCCATGCCCCCACCACGTGTTACACGCTGGCTGTCTGGGAACAGGGCCGGCAGTGGCTGCCAGCCCCACGCCTGGGGAGCCGGCTGCAGATCCCTCAGCAAAACCTCTCTGGGAGCGTTCCCCTGCAGAGCCCACAAGGTATAACCGTGTAAGCGCTGGGACTGTTAGCGGTGTCACAGTTCTCTTTGGAAACCCATCGTTATCCCTATTTCTATCCCCCCAGCAGCTGTCCCAAGAGACACCAAGAAGATGCAAGCGCCTCAGCTACCTGTAGCTGCTGTTTGTGGCGATGCTCTTCCTAGACAGACATCCCTCCTCCCCCCGAAAGCAGCACTTCTAGGAACGATCCCTCCTGCCACCACTCAACAGGATAAAAACAAAAAGGCCATTTTGTTTGTGGATCCCTGAAGATCGGTCGGGCGTATTAGGCCCCACTAAACAGCTGCAGTAATGATCCTACCGAGAATAATTAAACTGAAATGTAACAAGAAATATCCACTGTGATATTTAGCAGAGACACAGCAGTAATTATTATTATGTTACGCCCTTCCCCACAAAAAAGATGTACCAGCAGGATGTTCATAGTCTGTTTTATTTGTACATAGCACCTGTCATCCAACAGAATATGCAAGCTTGGGCAATGGCAGTATCCCATCCTCTGTCCTTTGTGGTCAGCTTTTCATGGTCCCTTTGCAAGCAGGGGTGTGCAATTAATTACCAGGGCCACAGCGATCCTGGAGACCATGTATGTGAACTGCTAACTCCCCGGTGAAATAAAACTGTGGTCATGCTATTGAAAAGGGCCATTGAATTCTGCTTTATTTCCCCCAACATCCCATGCATTCATGGGGAAAGACAGTCGATTTCAAGGGTCCGTGCTCAGATCAAACTCCCCTGGAAGGTGAAGACCAAATTTTTAAAAAAAGAAATATTCACAATGTGTGTCTGTTGTCAGTAGGAGGGGGCCTTTCAGAACAAGGACTTACACATCTACTATATATTTTAGAAACTTTTTCTGTCTGTCTTCCTGCCTGTCTGTCCTTCCATCTATGATTTACCGAGGACCACCAGTTTGGTAGGCAGCTTCCTCTTATCATAACATAAAGCCAGGTGAGGGTTTGGTTGTGCTAGGACAATGGGCTCGGCCCGGAATTCAATTGTTTCTCATTAAATGGAAAGGGAGGGGTCTGGTAAGAGGAACAGTTATTCTGTGGAATGACCACAGGGGGCAGCAAGGGGCCAGAGATGGGGACTGAGACGGCTATAGCCCCATTGGGCCAGCAGAGGGCAGAAGTGGGCAAAAGGATAGCTATCTTCCAGATCAGGGTTTCCCAACTTATGGGTCACCATTACATTTCAAAAGGGTCGCCAAATGTCTCCCTGGGTGTCTCTGGCCCCTTTCCTCCCCCTGTTTTTTAATTTCCTTGGGTCACCAAGTCTTCCCGATTTGTTAAAATGGGTCCCCATCTGGGAAAGGTTGGGAACCACTGTTATAGATGCTGGCAGCTAGGAAGTGGCACTGAGGAAGATGTGTTGAGTCCAAGGAGTAAGGGAGGCTCTGTGGAAAGGGGGATGGAGCCTGGATACTGCTGGGCTGTGGGAAATGGATCATTGCACAGCCCAGGAGGGGTCCACAGACACCGCTTAACCCAAAGGAAGGAGATGAATGCAGCAACAAGGGGTGAGCCAGAACCTCCCACAGGGAATTGTGGTGCCAGAAGGAGACAGCAAAAACTACATTAGCAGCCCAAGAGCGGGAATGTGTCTTTACGTTTTCTAGACTGTTTTCAGAAGACATACCATGTCACAAGGGGGTGCACTCTGGATGGCACCCAGCTACACAGAGAAAAGCTGGGACAGTGGCCCGAAAGACTCAAAACCCAGAGAGCAAAGCCAACTCCTCCCCTCCCCCCCTACACACAACTTTTATTGTAAAATATCCTAGGAAGGAGAGCCATGTCCTTTTGCTTTATGGGACAGCTGACTCCTGGGGAAACTCTGTGCTACTGTGTGGCTGGGCTCTGGGTGGGAAAGGGGTGTGACTGCCCCCCCAGCCCCACCACCACCACTGGTTGGGTGAGGAGGAGGCAAAGAAACAGGAACTGGCTGGTCATACCAGCAGTGATGCTAACACAGATGTTTGGAAGCCATGAGAGGCTTTTTAATACCTCTCCTGTGGCTCTTTGCAGCATGTGATACTAAATCACTGTGAGATTTAATTATTAACCAATCAGGAGTCTCTTATTAGGTGATTCACCCATGGCAGAATATTTGGTCAGTCCTTGTGCTGTGAGAATAGCATAGATCTAGGCAATGAAACAAGGAATTCACGCTGCTCTGGCTCTTTGGAGTACAGCTGATCGCTAACGTGGCTCCTTCACTAAGGTCTGAGTCCCACTGGCATTGAGTTTTCATAGAATCCTAGAACACTAGAACTAGAAGGGACCGTGAGAGGTGATCAAGTCCAGTCCCCTGCCCTCACAGCAGGACCAAGCACCATCCAGATCATCCCTGACAGGTGTCTGTCTAACCTGCTCTTACATATCTCCAGTGATGGAGATTCCACAACCTCCCTAGGCAACGTATTCCAATGTTTAACCACCCTGACAGTTAGGAAGTTTTTCCTAATGTCCAACCTAAAGCTCGCTTTCTACAGTTTAAGCCAATTCCTTCTCCTCCTATCCTCAGAGGCTAAGGAGAACAATTTTTCTCCCTCCTGCTTGTGACCCTCCTCCTAGGGTTTTGAGCCTTTTAGATACCTGAAAACGGCTATCATGTCCCCCCTCAGTCTTCTCTTTTCTAAACGAAACAAGCCCAATTCTTTCAGTCTTCCTTCATAGGTCATCTTCTGTAGACCTTTCATCATTCTTGTTACTCTTCTTCTGTACCTTCTCCAATTTCTCCACATCTTTCTTTTCTTCAGCTCTCTACTCCTGGGGAATTTGGGGGGGTGTCTGGGGTGTTACAGATGTACTTGCTGACAGGTATTTTGAAATAAATTACCAAAATAATGGAAACGAGCATGATTATATGGTGTTAGTAGAAGATTTAGCCAACATTGCTCAGATCGTTCAGGGCAGGATGCTGGAAGTGTGGGGGGAGCAGGGGGGCAGGAGTCAGAATTGGGGGGTTAGAAGGGACTCAGGGAAGGGGGTGGGGAGTTCAGAAGTCAGAGCAGGAAGTGGGGTGCTAGGGCAGGCGGTGGGGGTGCAGAAGTCTGGACAAGGGGTTGGAAGGTGAGAGGGGACTTAGGGGAAGGGCTGGGAATGGCCGGCTGCTGCTCCCCTGGGCCAGCCTGGGGTGATGGAAGCCATGCTGCCCAGCCAGTGGCTGGGGTCCCAAGGGGGGGGGCTGGTCTCCAAGGCTGGGACACTTTTCTGGCCCCTTGTGGTCCTTCAAGAGTATAACTATCCCCCCGCTTGCTGTTGAACAAACAGACTCCCAGAAGGACTGACAGATGCACGAACTCTCTCAAATATATAGTAGATTTTAACACATACACTTTGCAGAATTTGGCAATTTTTTAAAATTTTGGTCCTGAAATTGTAACTTTCCGGGCCAAGGCTGGGACACTTTTCTGGCCCCTTGTGGTCCTTCAAGAGTATAACTATCCCCCCGCTTGCTGTTGAACAAACAGACTCCCAGAAGGACTGACAGATGCACGAACTCTCTCAAATATATAGTAGATTTTAACACATACACTTTGCAGAATTTGGCAATTTTTTAAAATTTTGGTCCTGAAATTGTAACTTTCCGGGGCGGGGGTTTTAATTTTTTGGCCTAGAATTCCCCCGGGAGTAACAAATCTTGGCCTGCACCCCAGGGTGAAGGAATCGTGAGGTGGCAGTCAGAAAACGGCCTCTGTAGCCACAGCCCGGGAATGAAAGGGCATAGCCATTGGGGGAGGGTGCTACTGAACTACACAGAACTCTGACCAGCATAAGGACCACCAGTAATAGTGGGGAACCACTTGAGGAATGCCAACGGTTAAATTAAGCTCTAGAATCGTAGAATCCTAGAACTGGAAAGGACCTCAAGAGGTCATCAAGTCCAGTCCCCTACCCTCACGGCAGAACCAAGCACTATCTAAATCATCCCTGCGAGCTGTCTGCCTAACCTGCTCTTAAATATCTCCAATTACGGAGCGTCCACAAACTCCTAGACAATTTATTCCAGTGTTTCACCACCCTGACAGTTAGGAAGTTTTTCCTCATGTCCAACCTAAACCTCCGTTGGTGCAATTTAAGCCCCTTGCTTCTTGTCCTTGGTTAATAATTAAATCACACAGTGGTGTAGTATCACATGCTGCAAAGAGAAAAAGTATTTCAGGCAGAAAGAGTTTGGCGGGACTCAAAGATCGGGCTTTATATCGTCCCGTAAATCACCTTGCACGCTATTGGGCTACACAAATAAGATTTAACACTGGTAAGCATATGCATGCAAAGGGGCGGATGTAAGATTCTTATATTTTTTTCCAACTGCCTGGGATCTTCAACTGGCTGCGGCGGCTGCTTGATTGTCTTGCTTGGTGTTCTTTAAGGAGAGTTTGCGTTTGGAGCTTGTTTTCAAAGGTGGCAAAAACGATCGATGGGGAAATAGGGAGGCAGGAGCAGTTTGCATAACAGCAGCTTGATTCCTTTCGGTGGGGCAGAATGGAAAAATCGTCAACGTCATGCTATAAGAAGGGCCGGTCCCTTCAAATAGGGCCAATTGCAATGTCTGATATTTGCCAGCATGCCTGGGTGATTGCCACAGTGATTTTTCTAACCTCCAAGCCACATGTGCTGGTTCTGGAGGGTACCATCAGAGAACTTATTGATTAGCATTCACGGATGTGACAGCCACCAAATGCTTGTTTTGCCTGTTGGCCCAGTGCAGAAGCAGCTGCGGTTTTCATTTCTGGTTGTCAGAGTCCCTCTTAAATTTCTGGATGCAAAGGTCTTCAGTTGCAGGGTTTTTTTTTGGGGGGGGGGGTATACTATCATTTGGTTCAAACTGTACCATGAAGATTTTTCTTTAAAATGGTACGCAAACATCGTCTTCTTTTGAATGGCTTGAGTAGGTTGCAACGACAATAACTTTATATCTAAAAACAAAAATTTGAAAGTATAAAATGCTCTTTTTATCTTAGAGGGGTAGCCGGGTTAGTCTGTAAGTTTAAAAATAACGAGCAGTCCTGTGGCATCTTAGCCCTCCTCTACATCTGTAACGTTGACGTACATGGCCACGCCCCCTGGCCATGTACGTCAGTGCCCCGCCCCCCTTCCCCTCGCTCCCTGCCTGCCCCCCTGGACACCCCTCCCCCTCCAGAGCTGCTT